GCGCGGCCCGGGGCCCGGGGCGACCGGACGCCCCCGATTGATGTGAGTGGCATGTGGGTTCGTCCTCGTAAAAGGAATCTCCGGAAGGTTTTTTTGGTTTCTCACTCAACTCCGTCACAAACACACATTTCCTCAAACCATGACGCGCCCGATTGCCAATCTTGGAGCAACACTTGTTGGGAGCCAACAGGAACCAAGCAAGCCTGTGGTTCTTTGGTCAGGGTTGGGCCCCAAATGTTTTCAGCAGGTGTGGGCAATTTGCGTCTCTTTCAGCTACTTTTCGGAAAGAGGCTCACAAGACTTGCTACCCCCCCTCTGGTCCCATGGTGCCTTTGAAAGGGAACCCCGAAGCAGTCTGTTTAAACCATTCGCCACTGAAACATTTTGAAGCCAGGGCCAATCCTTCGACGTGCGTCACAGTCACAGTTGTTTTAGTGGGCTCCGCCCCTGAAAGTCCCTTTTGTTGTGCCTATTTTTCAGTAGAATGTCCATACCAAAAAAAGGCTCTATCAGGGACTAAATGTTTAGAATGGAATTGTGGGAGGGCGGCCTTTTTGGTCATGATCAGAACGATGGAAACTTGCACTCAATCAGCCCCTTGGAATACTTCACTGTTCTTTGTGTGTTTGTAGTTTGCTGTGCGTTATTGGGTTTATTTGTTTGTGTTGGCTTTTGTTCCTTTTACGATTTCCCCGGTCTCCTCTTTCAATCCTTCTTTCAGACCGACCGAAGCCCAGGGGAAACGTGTTGAAAAGAATGGAGGATTCGATTCAGCCGCTGAACAAGTGTTCGACCTTTGTGTAGACTTAACAGCGAGTGGAAAGTTCGCACATTCACACATTGCGCCAAGCACGGTTTTGACAGGGGAACCAACATGAATTACCAACCATTGCGGAAGGGTTTCTTGGCTTTGATACGCTGATCCATCGTCCAACTGGTTCCCACTTGGCAGCTAACACGGTTCACTCTGGGCCAGAATAACACCTCTGGCCTTACTTTAGTTGGCCAGCCTTGCTTGTTTCCCTGGTTCCAGCCCGAAAAGGATTCTGCAAACTTCCTTGTGAAGAATTTGATCGGTCAGTTTGGGGTTTTACATCCGTTGCATCCGCAGTGTGGCTGTTCAAGCGTGAAAATGTGCGAGCAGCGCACTTGGACGGTTTGTTGTTTCCTTTTGGGCCCCAAACCGGTAACCCTTGAATCTATAGGTTATCAGCCGTAGGCCCCTAGCTCTAAGCAATGGACGGTTCCCTTGTGCCAGTTGATGGATCCAGCATGCCTGTGGATGCTGCCGGAGCTAGCTCCGGCGCCACCGGCGGCGGTGTGCGAATGTTCGCATCAAGCGCTAATGCGCAATACAACCGCACCCTGATGAATTCCCTTCAACTGTACAATACCGCAATCTTTGCTTTTGGGAATGATGCAGCCATTAGGTCTGAAGCCGAAGCCCTGCATCAAGCAGCTGTAACGCATTTGCAAGCGGAAAACCGTGAGGAGCTCCGTGCCGCACAGAATCAGCTGCATGCACACTACGCTGAATGTGTGCAAGCCCAGTCGCATAGGATTCGTGAATACGAACAGCGAGTGAGCGATGAGTTCATCCAAGAAGTGAACTTCGCTGAAGCTAGGATAAGCCAAGTGTGTGAGGAAAATGCCCAAGCATTGCATGAAGCGGAAATGGGACGCAAAACAACTGAGTTTAGGCAAGCCATCGAATCCACCCTGGCTGAAGCCCAGCAGCTCCTCCATGAGCAAGCTGCTAAGCATGCCGATGACACAGCCCGTGTCGAGGCTACACACGCCAGAACGGTTGACATGATGGCACACCAAAACGGGCTTCTGCAGGACGAGCTTGATGAGCTGAAGAAGTATCAGAAGCAACACGACCTCCGCGAGGATGGATCGAAGCCCAAAGGGGTAGGTGATACCCGAGAGGATTCACCAGAGTTGATGACCGACGACATGAAGTCAGCTCGGTCCCAAAGGTCAATGTTGGACCCGTTGACCCATCCGTTTCAATATGCAAAGGAAAAGTTGAGGTCGCTTGTTACCTATGACGGTTACGGGGATGAATATACCCCTAGCGTGATTCCAACTGCCGAATGCGAAGCACTGCCCGCAGATGCTCGCGATCCGCAAGGACCAGCTGAAAAGCCATCAGGTAGCAGCCGATCCCCGGTGAAAACAAGTGCACCGGTCCCACCCCTGCAATTCTCTCAGGGGCCAATGTCAACTGACCGCAAGCAGGGTGGTAAGCCTCCCGGCGGTCCGCCACCTGATGATGATGGCGATGGCGATGGTGATGAAGACGAAGGTGATGGCCTTGGGCCTAACCTCGGCCAAGAAGCATTCGCCAAAATGTTGATGAAGTTAGTAAAAGGCCACACGAACGATGAAAAGCCCAGAACCCGCGAAAGCGAGACGTTGCGATTCAAGGAGATGCCAACTCCTGAAACGTACCGTGAATGGAAAACATCGGTTCGTGAGGATGTCCGCGCTGCATCTGACCGTCCAGACGAGGCTTGGCCTTGGATCATGGAAGTCTGGTCTGATCGCGAGGACAAGAAGAAGCTGTTGGAGGAGCTCGGCGAACCGGGAAAATTCGTGACCCTAGACACGAAGATTCTCGCAGCGCTCACGCGTTCAGCGAAAGGCGATCTGGCTCAGCGAATCCTAACAGCAAAGGAAGAATGTGCCAAGGAGGGAAAGGCCATGAGAGGAAGGCAGGTCTTGTTTATGTTTGACCAATATTTCAAGACCAGTGAAGAAGCCGGAAACCTCTACTCCTTGGAGGACCTGTTGCGTGTCTCGCGACACGGCGAAGGAATCATCGATCTCAAGCGTTTCCTGAATGCTTGGGATTCCGTGATCGCCGGCATGAAAAGGCCGCCGGAAGAAAAGGTGTTGAAAGACATCTTGCTTCGCCAAGTGAGAAGCTGCCATCTGTTGCGGTACGACATCGACACATATGATCGTTGCCGTGACGATGATCCCAATAAATCGTACGATTTCCTAATGCGTTGCATGAGGGATCTAATCGAGAGGGATAGGCTTCGCGAGAACCGAGAGCGCGTGTCCAAGGTCAATGCCAGTAAAGCCCCGACGCCCAAGGCTGGTGCTGCCGCTCCTGAAAAGAGGGACCCCAAGAAAAAGAGCGCACCTAAGCCGAAGGACACCGAGGAGAAGTACTGTTTTGACTTCCAGAAGGGCTCGTGCACGAGGGGGGCAAACTGCCCTTACGCGCACCGCAAGGAGCCGCGAGGACGCTCCGCGACCCGCGGCAGGCCAAGTTCCCCCAAAGGCGGTAAAGGAGAGAAAGCACCGTGTTCTTTCTTTGCCCAAGGGAAGTGCACGAGAGGTGATAAATGCAAGTTTAGCCATGCCTCCACGGGCGGCAAATCTGCCGCCGCGGCATCGAGCAGCGAGGCCAATGCAAATCCTGCGGCTAAGAAGCGTGCAAATTCACCTAAGCCTAAGCCCAAGGCCAAAGCCGCTGCAGTCTGCACCAGGTACGCCATGTTCGCAAAGCCGATCAACCCAATTGGAGTGTCATTCGACACCAATGCTCATGTTCATGAAATCCCCGCCGAAGGCGATGGTTTCAAGCTTGAATATGAGGAACGTCAGTACAATAGGATGTTTCCAAGTGCCAAGGACTGCCCCAGGCCGACCAAAGGGACTAACAAGGCAGCGCGCAAGGCCGCGAATCAGTTGAATGCCGTAGTCAAAGCCATGGAGAATGGAGCCCAGCCCGCTTGCGGTTTCATGTGCGATGTGGAATCTGATTCCATCTCAAGCCTATCGTGTGATGAGTGCCTGAGAGTTGCCATGCCGCCTCACGATGTTCGCAAGGATGTCGAAGCGCCAAGGGCAGCCACCCCTGCCCCAAAGGGAAAGGATGTGTGGCTCATTGATTCCGGTAGTGAGCAGGACCTCATCAGCAAGGCTGCACTGAGGAATGCGTCCAAGGCAATCCGAAAACAGGCCCCGCAGCCTATTCGCCTTGTGACTGCAAACGGAAACATCACTGCTTCCGAGATCGCCGACGTCAATGTCGATGCATTGTGCGAGCCTGCTCAGCCTTACATCCTCGAGAGTTCTCCCGCAGTGCTGTCGCTGGGTGTGAAGTGTCTGGATCAAGGATATTCCTTTCATTGGGAATCCGGGAAGGCACCAACCATGGTTCGCCCTGACGGTGCTCTGATCCAGCTCAAGGTTGACGGTCATGTGCCATACATGGACTCTAGTTGTGAAGCTGAGCCATCGTTGAGTGCAGTAGCAGCATCAAAGCCAGCGCCTGCGCCAGTTCATGACGAAGGCATCGACGAAGGTGATGATCCCGACGACGAAGTTGAGCGGTTTGTGAGATCCCGCAAAGAGCAAGATCTGGTTGCCGAAGCAGGTACCAAAGAGCACTTGTTTGCACACTATCCGAAGAATCCCTTTTGCCGCACTTGCCAACGTGCCAAGATGCTTGCCCCATATGCAAGATCGAAAGGCGGGCAGGGAAGGCTCGAGACGAAAGCGTTTGGAGATCACATCATTGCTGATCATGTGATTCTCAAGGCCAACATCGAGCAAGGCATAAAAGGTGAATGGTGTGCTCTTGTGATCAAGGACGTGCATACGCAGTTCAGGTACGTTTACCCGTCGACCAGCAAAAGCACGGAGCAATCCGTTGCAGGGATCCAGCATTTCATTTCCGGTAGGGATGAGGTTGAGGTTCTCTACACTGATAACTCCCGGGAATTGAAAGCCGCAATAGAGCAGTTGGGGTACCGTCATCAGACCTCCATTGAATATGTTGATTCTTCCAAATCTTTCGTGGAAAGGGAAATCAGACATCTGTTGGAGGGAGCACGTGCGAACCTTGTCCAGTCAGGGTTCCCACTGTCGATGTGGCCATTTGCCATCCAGCACAATGCAGTTGCGACCAACATCCTGCCACAGTTGAATGGAAATGATTCGCCATGGTACCTCAGGTTTAACAAGACCTTTGATGA